AGATCAGGCCATTTTGTTTGTTAGAGCTAAACGTCCAAATTCCATTCAGACTCGTGGCCAACTGTTGTGTGTGCGAGAGGTCGCCCAGTTCCTTGTGCCACTGCGGAGTGTATTCCCGTGTGCCGAGCCCAAAGCTCACTCGGTCACGTTGTCTCAGTACCTGACTCGTCAGCGGCACCTGCTGCACGGCTATGAAGCACGTCTCATGAAGAACGTGCCAAAGATCGTACACCTGGTCTGCAGGCTCCTACTGGACATAGCAGAGAACCGGCAAACGGTGGAAGAGGAGGTGTTGGACATCCCTGACCTCACAGAGGAAGTGGAGAAGACTGTCTCGCTGCAAGCCCTAAAGCAGTTAGGGAAGGAGATGAGGGGGAAAGGGATTCCCATATCCTCACCTCGCTCTCCCGACCAACCCAGCTTGCTTCTTAAAGAAAGCCAGTGTGATCCACCTCATGACCGGCCACTCTGTAGCGACCAGGAATTTGATGTGCTTTGGAGATGGCCGACGGTAGACAATACCTACAAGTCTCAGCTCATCTTGAGCAAATGTTTTAGCTATAGCGACTCCGCCTTGCACAAACTGGATTCCAGGGTGCAGGTACTACAAAGTCCCCAGAATGCTCTTGGCTGCAAATCTGGGTTAAACTTTACAGAGGCTTATGTGTCACAGAGCAGATTAGCTACACAAACCCCTGACCTTCTGCCATCCCAGTTGACATCCGAAATCAACAGCAGTCCCAAACATGGCTCTTTAACTGGTTCCTGTAGCTCCCTGGTACAATCCAAAAACGTTGAAGGCCAAGCATCCTGCTCTCCTGTCTCCATAAAACGTGTACCTCTGAAGGAGGCAAAGCGCAGCATGTCTTATGGGTTTTTAGGGAGGACCAGTGACAGCATGTTTTCAATGCGTCAAGGTGGCAAAAGTCACCCCAGCCCTAATGAAAACACAACCTCTGATGTCACACAACAGTTGACAGATGTTCCTACTCTGACGCTTCAAAGTGAACTCCCACTTGAGACTCGTCGACTGTTTGTGGCCAAAGCTCTGATGATGGACATCGATGGAGATGACCTCAGGAGCACAGTCTCAATGTGGCAGGTAGGAGCAATACTACAAGATTTTTGGACGAATTGAGTCTCAGAACTTAAATTCCATATCCTGTTCTTCTATAACACAACCTCAGATATTCACTTTCAGTTGTCTATTGCCTCTCAGACAGAGCTGAACTCCCGTGAAGGTGCATGGGAGAGGTTGTGCACCGAGAGAGATCCTGTGGTGCTCTCCAGGCTCATGTGGTCTTGGCTAGAACAACTCAAGGAGCCAATCATCACAAAAGAGGATGTGGAGACTTTGGCTGGAAACAGATTCAATCCCCAACATGCTCTGAATTCACTGGACAAGGTATCAAACCACATGAGAAAATATCTTTATAGCAGTGGTTCTCCACTTTTTTGAATCAAAGGCCTCCCTCTTTGTTCAAGACAATATTTGAAAGCCCTCCTATGGAAGCTCATTTGTACATCCTTTGTACTTCTTTTTGCATTTTAATTCAAATCGGCATGAAATCTAAACTGTCTTATCAAACAACTCAATATATGAAGTTATA